GAAGGCGATTTTTTAGGTAACCTAAAGTGAACTGAAGTCTGAACAGTCTAAATGAAAGTACCTTGAAATCTGTAACAAATAAGGATTAGTTTGCAAATGATGATTTCACGGGAAGCTTTTGTACATATGCCTAACAATTCTGTAAGATTGTTGATATCCTCACCTGGGTTTTCGTGCACAACAGTACCTCCAATTCAAACAACTATCTCTCAATAACTTCATATAGTCTTCTTTCATAGAAATCAACCATTGCAAAAAAAATATTTCGAGTCATTTCTTCAATTGTAGAATATAGTTTTAATCATTCATTCATTAAATCATATAAACAATTTATTTAAAGTTAACAACTCTCTCAAACTTGTTTGTGTATACGAAATCTCATAGTTGACACAAAAAATTATTAATCATTCCGACACTGAGATCCCTATGTATGCATGCATGCAAGAATATGTTTTTGTTTGTATTTAGAAACCAAAACAGAGAAAAAAACATTCAATATCCAATCATTTTGTATTTTCAATGTTTCAACAAAAGATTTTTTTAAAAAAAAGAAAACTACATCGTTTAATGTTATGTTTGTATGTAAGCGACATCCAAATATTGGTCGCACGCACACACACACACACACAAAACACGGTGAATTACAAATGTGTGTTTTAATTTTTTTATTTCAAACAATCTCACTTATTTAATTATCACACACACAAAAAAACAAACGGAACAACCAGAATTAAAGTTATGCTTTAAAAGATGTGAAAAATAAAAACAAACAAACAAACCATTCGATAAACATGTGATGATGATGATATTTTTTTAAAATTATTATTTCAAAATTAATTAATTATTCGAGATAACCGACAGCGATTAAAACAAAAGAAAAAATAATTTCATGAATCTATTTTTTGTTTTTTCGTAATTTTTCAATTCAAAAAATTACTTAGTTTGTTTGTTTAAAAAAAAGAAGGAGATACAATTTAAAAACACATCATTTTATTTTTAATCATGTGTGTGTTTGTGAAGGCTGTTGAATTTTTTTTTTAAGTTACAAGCATGAATTGAGTTTTTTTATACAAGCGACTAGTGAAAAATTAAAAACAAACTAGGAATCAGTCATTAATAAGGATTGGTATTACGAATGTACGTAAACATTTTAATTTGATATGCTTGAATTATTACGAGTTTACCTTAGTCGGAAAAAACGAGAGCGAGAGCGAGGATCCGATGATACGATAGGATACTCTAATCCAAGTGTCCCAAAACCCCCATTGAGTAAAGGAAGAAGACATGATATGAAATAGAACATGTGTTCTACAAACATCCACAAAGTACGAGGTTCGAGTCCAGAGAAGGATCAGGATCCGAGTCATAAAACGTTATAGATAATGAGTACTTATACATTTAGGTCGAATAGGAAACAGCATCGACGTGACATTGACATTTACGATGATCAATGAGAAACAACATTGGAGGACGTGACACTGATATCTAGGACGACCATAAAATTGACCACTCTGGATTGACCAATAGGAATTGACCAATAATTCTCTTAGGATATTGAATGAATATCCTAACAGTTGGTCGAGGAGATTAGAGAGTTATTTTAGGAGGTTTAGAAAGGATTTGATTCTGACCGATTCAGCCTCGTGTGTTTTTAGGGAGTATAAGGGTGGATGGTACTTTTCTGGCTGCCAACATCGTTGAAAGGTTCTGACTGTCAGAATAGGGGCATCGGAGTCGTGACTTCCGGAAGGAACTCGGCTTTCATCATGAGACGTCATAACTGTTCTAAATGAAGACACTATAACTCCCAGAGCAGAGTTTATATTTTTGAATTATTTTTTCTTATTAGCTCTTTTTAGCGAGCTAGTTTTTCTGCGCTATGGGGTTGGCAACCCCAAGCCCAACCCTCCTCCTTTATCCGGGCTTGGGACCGGCAGTAGCCCTGAAGGGTCTACAAACGGAGTTGGGAATCATTACATTCCTCTTATTGTTGAACGTAGAACTCTTAATCGATCAGTGACTCTACCAGAAATTCAAATCCAATCAAGCGTCGAATCATCTAGACTACTGAGTTCGTATCCAATGGTGTATCTTTGTAGCTTCAATAATTGTACAACTATCTTTCACTGGTAGTATCAGTGAATAAATATCTTATGTTCATACTATTATGAAAAATCTGTTCAAGGCTCCGATACTTTTTCAAGGGTTGTCTAATTAAGGTCAATCAGTCAAATGAACTATTTTGTGTATCATTTGTTTTTTTAAGAACTTAAATCCAAATCATTATTTTCGTCTGCAAATTTAAACGTTACTCATTATTGATGTTTATTTTAGTAGTATAATCTAAATATATGATAAATCTTTAAAAAAATTCTGTTCATTTAATCATCTTTTTATTGAAAGTATCAATGAAACATGTGTACAGAATTTTGCAATAAACCATTAATTTTTTCTCTGTCATAAAATTCTGATTTATGATTGGTTAGATTCAGCATCTCAGATCGAACAGTAATTGCTATATAAAATCAATAAATTATCATCCTTACACAATGAAATATTCTCAATTTGAACTAAGGTCAACAGCATCTTCTTTTTTTTTTACTCTCCACTGAATTATACTATCGTTTTCTCTTTCATTTGAGCGGGTTACTGTTGCACATACAAGGATGGTTTACTGACAAAATCAGGTGACATTGTCTCTTGCGATCAGATACTTAGTACAAAACATGCAAATATAATCAAAGATAGGAGAGTTAAAGTGAGATGGTTTATTGAAAATTACACACTTTAAACTAGTATGTTCATGAGACAGTGATTGAAGAAGATCAAAAAGAGTTGAACAGCTACTTCACTATAGTATGTGACTCATCATCAGTGTGAACTCAAGAAACTTTTCCCAGGAATCGAATCAAGGACTTCCAAGTGTATTAGTGTTGAACAGTTGAGTTCTAATCTATCGGTCTTTATTTTAAAAATTTCATCTTTCCACTGTTCTTCAAAACCATTGTTAAGTTGTGGTAAACTATTCACCAAATTCCAGTGATTATTTCAGCTATTTAGATAAAATAAATTTTATTAACTTCAATTAATTTATAAGTTTTTATCAGCATCGAAAGTCGGATAATTATAATTATCACAAACTATCTATACAAATAATCGTCTAAAGTTCAATCATTAAGTTTGACAGAAATTTAGCCTTGATTACATGAAATACGTTATGCTAAGAAGTAATTTCAGTAATTAAAATTTAAATACTTTTAACATTTCATCTCATCTATTCCTGCCAGGGAAATAGTTAAAATCACTATTATCAAAGAATATAATGTATTTATTAATGAAATCACTTTATACACTTCTGTAATCGTGTTTATTTCACGTATAGTAAGTTTATGCAATACCTAATGTGAAAAGTAGTACATGAAAGCCTATGATTATGGGTTAAGTACAATTTAATTGTTTTTAAAAGTAGAAATTCAAACTATTAAAATCGTCTTGTACAACTATGTGTACACTCAAATTTATTATATGATTAAATTAACAATGAATCCATATATAATAATGACTAAGTAATAATCTTCTTTGGTTTGGATAAAACTTTTAAAATTTCAATTGATAGTCTAGTTCCAGTTTTACTATTTATGATTATATTGTCTCTGAAGCTGAATGTAACGTTTCATGTTATGAATTCATCAAAATATGTTATTCTTGTAAACTAATGAATTATCGATTCATATATATATTACTGTATTAATAATCAGTAGTAAGAATCTTATTCAATCATATTAATTAACTTAACAAATCAAATGTATGCAATTATACTAATAAGCATAATGATTAACTAGGAAGAAACGAATATAGTATTTGTTAAATGATATATTCCCTTCTTCATAGATCAATAACTGCTGAAGTGTACCTATGACTGGATTCCATCATTGCATTAATTCGTATTATTAGAATCGTCATGTTCGAAACCATGAACCAATAAATGTTAGACCACCATTAGAAACCTGGAAGTACTGAAAGTCGGCCATTCCGTCGTTATATGGGACTCATCAGTGGCAGTGCGCATCTACGACTCATGATCCGCACATTATTTGGACCTTGGTCGTGTGCGCTCATGGCTAACCTCTGGACCGCTGAGCCAGTATCTAATGGTATTAATGTCTAACGTCGATCAATTCACGGAGTTGTGCAACCTCATCACTGTCTTCGGTGGTAACTGTCAACACCTAAACAGGGTTGAACTTCACTGAGCACTGCTGATGAGTCCCATACCAGGACGAGACAGCCGTCCAGTGCTTCCAGGTTTCTAATGGTGGTCTAACATTGATCGATTCATGATTTCAAATGTGTAATTTAACAATCTTCACAACCCGTAATGCAATTTAAGTACGTACAACTTCAGGTATTATTCTTTCTTCATAAGGATAAAAAAAGTCACAAATTATATCAACCACATGTATACTATAAACATGATCAGTATTTGAATAAAATCGAACAAATACCTGTTATCTAATCACTGTGAACTTTATCTCATATTGTGTTCAGTTCTTTGAATTGTACTGATTTTAAGCTATCTTATTTCACTTAAATATTTGTAGTTATGAAAACTTTGGATTAGAAAAGAAATATTACATGTAAATGAAGTTTGATAGCAACTTTCATATATTTTTTAAAAAAAATTACTAACTCTAAGTATTGGCCTATTTAATATATACGAAATAATTATTGACTTTTGTACACTGATTTGTTACTTTGTTTTATAATTTAAGCTTGATCTAAACATTAGTCATTCAGTAATTCTACATAGGGTGAGAAATAAGTAGAATTGAACTTAACGAGCTAGCTACCTTGTTACCTTGTTAAGCAATTGAACTGATTTGTGTACGTTTAACTGATCAGTCATGCATGATAAATTATTGTGTTTACGAATATACACAACAGTATGATAAGTTATTATTATTATTATTATTATCAATCTCTTCTGTCTATAAATTCAGCCCTGTTAGCTATGAACCGGCAAATAACGCATCAAAAACAATTATTCTTGTTAGAGAATTTGAATCGCTGACATCATCATCATCAGAAACGAATAGTGTCAATTCGACAACCACATCAACCGTCATTACACCAACGACAACACTAACGCCGACACCAACGCCAACAACACCAACAACAACCGCATTCAAAATACTCACAAGGCCAACAACAACACCAATCAAATCAATTTTCACAACAAATGTAACATTTTCAACAACAACACTAACTAACACGATAAATAGTAATTCAATTTCGAATAATACAACAAATGTATCCTATTCACCAGAGAATAATACAATTACACCACATAGAAATGATAAACAGGTGATGAAGTGTTTTATAACAGTATAAATTATCATTAAAAATGTTATTATGTTTTGTTCATATTTTTGTATAATTGAACGTAAAATATTTCTATTTTGTGATTATTGTGTGATATAGCGTCTTCAGTGTAACTGCCAGCCTCAAGTTATATTGGTCACTACTGATTGGTTAGTCAATGTTAAATGCCTTTGCTGAATAGGAGTCAGCTGAAATTTGATTAGCTCAATAGTTAGATTGTTAGACTGTGAAAATGGATAATACGAGATTGAATTTGTTAAGAAATAGGAAGTTGCTTTCATGTTGTCAAGTATTCTCTATGCGCATATACCAGAAATGAATAATCCAATTCAGTCTTTCATCTACACATACTGTAGTGAAGGAGAACATAGGTGAGGGCAACCGAATTGTATTTAACGAAAATTACAGAGTTACTCAGTAAAATAGGAAAACCATATCGTAAACGGTTAATTTGCAAATCTTCAATCAATCATCGATCCATTGTCTGACATTTCACTATTCATGCGTTTCATACAAATTCCATTGTGTTCCCACTATTCCTTTCTTGATCTTCCCCCATCTTCTGCTGCCAGACATTACGTTTTTACTCGTGTCATATACTACTTGTAAGTAGTGCGCACCACAATACTAACTAACAGATAGCTTGAAATATAATTAATTTGCTCTACATATTTACACGCTAGTTTTGAGTTCGCTGACATAAAAGAAGAAAATAAGAGGTATGGAAACATCAATATGGTATCAATCGGAACATATATATATATGGAACTGAGCAGGTGTAATTTGGTACTTTTTGTACAGCTTTGGCATTTGTCTAGATTATTTGATCTAACTATACTAAAATAGTGTGCGATGCACATATTTCACAGATTCTACATTGTTTATGTAACGGACCACAATGTTTTCACTCCTACAATTTGTGTAAATAAGTCAGTCTTTTTTTCTTACTTAGTTATAAAAAGTAACACAGATCTCTTCTGCACAAGATATTGGTCAATATTTAAGAGCTTTTTCTTTGACGAGTGTTCCAAATATATTTATTTGTTTGTTGAGCTCAAAGTTTCTTTTCATTTTACTCTTACATTAATTAATGTGAACTAGACGAGACTATTAGTGAGTTTCATTTGATTATTGTATTTCTGTTTCTTTTAGTTAGTTTACAATCTTCACATAAACTAATACTTCATTACTTTTTGTCATAACTTTAGTGCTTTTTATCAATTTGTATATTTGTGAAGATTACTGATTACCAACCTAAATTAGACGCTTATTGATAGCCATAAAATTGTATTCAACTCGTCAACAGTGCGTATGCACAAATCTAACTGGGCTGATCCCAGGATCTATAAGTGTCATGGTTAGCAGTTAACCTTTAAACTGCTAAACCATTATCGAAGAGTGTGCAAATCAATCAATTCACGAAATTACACTTACTAGTAACTGATGTCTTTGAATGTTTTGGATATCTGGTGAGAAACCGTAACTAGTGGAGTTTGAGCGTATAAAGCGTGAGACACTTACATACCAATAGAATTAGAAGATAGTTGCACAATATTGTGAAATGATCGGAGTTTAAAAAATACACACTATTGGATGATTACTCAATGATGTAAATTCTTTGTGCTCACTAAAAACTTGAATATCCTGAGTTCGATCCTTGGTAGAATGATAAATACACAATACTGAGCAGTCTCATACTAAGACATTGGTACCAATAAAAATGGAGGGAGTTTCTTCATTTGCACATCAAATAAATAAAATCAATTGACTTGTTATCTGTTATGTTTGTCGATTGACACTCAATTGTTCAAGATTTTTTCACACATTTGTCATGAAAGAAAATGTCTTGTTTATTATGAGAATTACTGTAAAATGTTTGTAAGACTGAATGAAACTTCTAGAAAAAAATTAGAAATTTTATTAATGTATATGGTAAAGTTTAATTAAATTATGATTCGTAAATTTTCTAAAGTATTTTTATTCTAAAGAATTTTAACAGTTGTGTACTAACCTTAGAAGATATTTTGAGCACATTCATCAGTGATTAGTAATGATGAACACTATAGTAGGTGAGAAAAACTAGTGATTACTCGGATTCAATTAACTTTGTGGATAAATTTTTACTGTGTATGTCTATAACCACTGGCATTGTAGTGCCTACCTTGACCTAATTGTCAGGCTCGCCTATCGTGATGATCCAGTTGATCCTTACTATCTGAAACACTTATCCATTTAGATCATACTAATACAGGTAAGTCGGCCTTAAAAAAGTAATATTAAAAGTAGCAACTCAAGATTCAACAACAAATCTTTATCGCTTACTGTACTAAAGTGTGTAACCAGTACAATCTCCTCTCTAAACAGATAGCATCTTAAAATAAATAACCCTTAAAAGTAGAAGCCTATTTCACCCTGATCTACTTCCTAATTTCAATCTGTCGAGGTAAGTTTGTTTTTTTTGTTTGTTTGAAGTAAGTCAATATTTTCTAATCAGGTTCCTTTTGTTTTACTGATCTATTTTATTTATTTATTATAGTGTTATGAAAATGGTGTACGTTTAATTCAACCCAATATAATTCACCAATCATTTGATTCATCCGTTTCAGAACATGACTCATCATCATACACTTATGACTCATCATCATATTCTTTCTCTTCAACGACTACTGTACCAACCAATTCATCATCAATAAACACATCATGTAGTACAAATGATTCCAGTATTTCTGATACATTATATGTTGCTAGTAGTAATTCTAAATTTTCATTGAATAATAATAATAATTATCGAAATAATAATAATAATAATAATAATAATCTTAATAATATTAATAATAGTAATAATAATAATAATGTCTTTCTTTTATCTCCAACACCATTCAATCGAAAAATTTATTTGAATCAACAGACCAGTAATCATATTGTTACACCTTCATCAAATACTACTAAGAATTACAATGATAATTATTTACTTACTATGAATGGACATTGTACAAATTGTGGCAATGCTAAAAATAATAATAATAATAATATTGACAATAATACTCGAAATCAAACAAATGGACATTATATTTCTGTTAGTGAATCGTCTAAACAAGAAAATGAAAATTATCAAAATCCCATAAAAACAATTAATACTACTCAAAATTCTTCTGAAAGTACTATACTATCAGAGCATTACTATTCACCAGAAAATCAACATACATTTGATTTATATTCTCATTCAAACAAATTTTATAGTAATAACAATAATGCTAGAAGTGATATACAAGGAAAAGGTGGAGGTGGAGGAGGTGGAGGAGGAGGAGCAGGAGAAAGAAGAATACTACAAGTAGACAATCAAGATGAAATCATTGAATTCAAGAATGACATGAATGTAAATAAAGGTAGAAATGATTATAAACATCGAAAAATCGATAACAATGACTCTCATGTTGTTTGCATATCGAACAGTAATAATAATAATAATAATAATAATAATAATAATAATAATGCTTCAGTAGTGATGACAACTCCAACATCATATGACAGTAATAACAGCAATCATATTGGTTATATGCATGCTAGTAAGAGAACAAATCATTCTGATCATTACAATAGCGATGTTAGTTATGGTGGTAGTAGTAGTGGTAGTAGTATAAACAGCAGTCCTTGTAGTAATAATGGCAATAATAATAATAATCATAAAAATTATTATTTAGATTTAGACAAACAATCAAACATGAAGAATCCTAATCATGTGTATGATTCGAAAATTGAACTTGAATGTACAATGTATAATCGTAATAGCTTTACAACACCAATTGGTTCTACAAATACAACACATCAAGGAAGTGATGCATCTATTGACGATCCAATCTCACCAATAACCACACCAACACCACAAACACCACAAACAACAAATAAAACATTGAAACGTTTTGTTTTAACTAAAAATCCATTAACTAGTCCTTCAGTAACAACAACAGCAACAACAACAACAACCACACCTAGTGGTATATCATCGACACTGTCAACTCGTCAAAATTATCACATTGAAGAATTAATTCCAATCAATACTAATATAAATAATGTAAATTTATCAATAACAAAAAATCCTTTATTCAATAATTCATATCACACTATAACATCACAACAAAATTCTCATCAAACTCCTATATCTTATTCATTGTCAACATTGGAATTAGAAGATAAACTGCCTGCATCATCATCATCATCACTTAGTGCTTCATCGAATTTGTCAAATCAACTGAAAGAGAATCAAATGACTATTAGTAGATCTAGTGAAGAGAAAAAATCATTATCATTATTATCAAAATATCATTTATCACAACAAAATAATAAAATTGATAATAACAATAATAATCATAATAATATGAATTATTATTATTATGGTAATGATGATTTATCAGTTGGATCAATACAACAACTTTCAAATTATACAGATTATAGTTGTAAGTGATTTAATTGGTGAAAATAAATATTATTGATGCATTGTTAAGTTCATTTATTGGATAGATTCATCAAACTAGAACAACTTGTTAGTTATTTCTATAACTAACCAATCAAATTATCGTTTTAAGCGCCCATCACGTGATCTGATCTGACGTGTCTGTAAACTTTTTTTTGTTGTAAATGACCTACAAATTGATTGACGTTATTATCTTATTATATTGATGTGACTCATAGTTTTATTGATTTCCATAAGACACGCTATATTGGTCGGTATGTTTGCTCGTCTTACTTGATCATTGTAACTTCCTTATTTATTGTACTAATCTAATTGTTTTTATGTTTAGAAACAGATAAAGTTTAGAACAAAAGTTGATCTTGTTCTAACTATAGCTTTCCCATAGACTCTGTGCTCGCCATTATTGCGTTTATTGTTCTAGGACAAATTAAATCCTACACAACTCACACATATATCCATATATATTTCTTGGTTAACTAAAAAGCATGATGCACATGCACGCCGCTGTTTTTTTAGACAACACAAGGATTCTCACAATAACTGTTTAGTGATCATCTCTAACCCATACGGGAAAGCATATATTGTCTAGATTGGCCTGCAGACAAGTCGAACATCCAGACAGTACGTACACAAACAGTGGCCCCCGTTCGGGCAATGATGAATCAGCAAGATCCCTTCAACCATTCCGCTACATATATAAAAGGAAAGTACAGCGCTCTGATCAAGTGAGCTACTGGAACATGTTTAAGATCAACGATCTGGCACTTCTGTGGCGGATAATTTTGATAGTTTGCGGATATGTCAAATAGATGATGTAATTATAAAGCTTTTGTTATGGCTCTGGACACAGTTGTTTTTCATAACTTTTAGCAGCCTTAATATTTTGAACATAACACCATGTCAGCAACGATAGGATTTTTTATGTAGGTTGTCGAATTTCAAGTAAGCTTTTATCATAGACTAATTTCAACTGGGTAACTATTTGAAAGCGCAGAGCACTGAATACCTATTTCGTCTTTGCTTAGATTGTTCATAATTGCTCAATCCATATGGTCAGAGAAGTATTTTCAGAATACCAATGTCAATCCATGACTAAAAATATAGTTTCAAATAAATCGATCCCTACATATCTTTTGTCCTCTCAGTAGTGACCATCTTCCAGGTGGATTTCTATGTCCGCGATCAATGGAGTCCTGTCTGGGGCAAGATAAATATCGCCTTTTATATACAGTATCACAAATCCGATGCTAAAAATGTCAATTTGATAATGTTTCAACTTTCTGAAATTACTTTATCACGAGACATGAAAGATCTCAAAACTAACCCTGTGTGCTCATAAATAAACAGTGTTCTCTGGTTTTCATCGGTTCTCAAGTGGCTCTTTTTTGACTAAAAGCTCAAATATTCAACCACATAATTGAGTCATAGTTGGTGTATTAACAGCAAGAAATACTCTGCATTCTTCTACAACTTATTCACATAAAATTAGATGACCTTGAACTGTTTTTGGTAAACACGATAATGTGCACTTAGATTCACTATTTACTAAAAACAAATTTTAAGCTATCAGTGTACATTTAATAATGATGAACATAACATTGGTTAATTTATTATGTCGAAAGTTAAAATAAAATCAATAATAAAAAGCAACTAGTTTTTCAAAATTAGTTTAATCAAAATTATTTCTCATCATTGAAGAATCGTTCAAAAATTAAGGAACTTTTTGTTTCAGTACTGAACTCGTCAGTATTGTACATCTATGACTCCACTTAGGATTAATCCGAGGATACTGATCTCTGGTAGTAACCACGATATCTTTAACTTATTTAGTTGGAAGGTAATATTCACAAAACTTCCGACTTAGCGGTAATTAAGTCCTATGACCAATACAAAATATAATAAAAGGTTACAAATTCACTTCAACACTTTGAATTCAACTGGTATTCTTGACCATTACTATTCCTTTTTGGTTTATTTCATGGTTGAAAGGCTTATGAAAATTGGTTTGATATATGCCTGGTGTTCTCCACGATAATAACTCCAATCAAAAGTAAAGTTATAGTTTCTTACTTTTGAATAGTAAAATAAAATAGTTGTCGATGCTTTTTGGTTTCCACTGATAACTTAACTAATATCAATCCAGTTAACATCAATCCATATTTAAGAATAATTTCTCAATTCACTAATATTAGGATATGCATCCAATATCCTAAGAGAATTATTGGTTAATTTCTACTGGTCAATTTTATGATCGTCCTAGATATGTATGTCATGTACTTCAATGTTGTTTCTTATTGGTCGTCCTGATTGTCAATGTCACAGACGTGGATGCTGTTTCCTATTCGACCTAACTGTATAAATATGCATTATCTATAACGTTTTATGACGCGCACCAGGATTCTAATCCGGGATCCTGATTCTCTTCTGGACCCGAAATCCGTACTTTCTGGATGTTTGTAGAATACATGTTATAAATGTTCACTGTTTTACTTCATAACAGTTTTTATTTTATTTTACAGATCATTTAGATTCGACGGTACGTAAAACTAACTTACCCCCATCAACACTCCCACGACCTGGATTTTGGACACCAGATGTGAAAAGTTCCCGTAAAATTAACAATCTAATTCAAGAAGATCCTAAAACTAAAGTATACAAATGGTTTGAAAATTATGAAGCTGCACGTCTACTTATAGATTTTGGATTGCCAATCACTGGTTTCAGTCCAAATTTATCATCATTAACATTTTCTCATGTACCTGAATGGTTCCATGGTTAGTTTTATTGATTTAATTAATTAATTAACTAATTTAATGGTTACAAACATTTTACAAAGGTGTTTGAACTAAGGAATAACTATCTAGGTAGGTTAGATACGCGTCTTGCCCAGTTGAAATCCAAAAACAAGTGATTTGGTTAAATAATGGTTCTAATATTCATCATAAATATAAATTTACATCATTACCTAAACAAATATTACCACTTAGTTATTCCACCAACAATTGTTCAATTAATTAAATCCACAGCAGATAAATGATATTCTATCCCTCCTGGATAGATCAGATTCGTTCGACAGATAATATTTGGTTGCTTTATAACACAGAGTGTTTCCTATTCTGGAAGAGTGCTTCAATTCACGATGTGACATTTTGTTAAAATGAAGAATTCTGTTAATTTCATCTTTTGACATATAAATAAACTGTATTATCAGAAACAAAAAATTTTGACTAATATTGGTGCCTAGCGGTTATGTGTCATTATCATTCAATGCTTAACTTCAGTCATCAATCTCACAGCTTTATCAATACTTTTAGACTCACCAATCAACTACCTAGCTTCATTTCGTCTGGAAACAGGTACACATATTGATATTCAACTGTTTTCCTATCCCCTAAAGACTTTATTCGGTAGCTCTTGCGTTAGTATCAACAGATTAAGGATTCTTTATTAAAATTCCATTAGTGAAGTTTAATAATACGACTAAAGATCAATACCCTGGACTAAATAATCTCCGTCAGGACTGTCATCTGACTTAGTGCTTTTATTCTGTAATGTGACTAGAATACAACTAGCCAAGTAAAGTAATAACACTTATTCATTTAAGCAAAGTGAGTACATTCTTATTTGATGGATAGTGAAACAATTTAACGACAGTGACAGGAGTAATAACAATAGTTTTATTCTGTATTATATTGCTGATTTAAAATAGAGGATTCATAGCATAATATATGCAATATTACAACGATTTTCAGTCTTATATCTAGTCAACTTGTGAATAGAAATGAAAAATTATTCACTAATAATGTCAGCGTGAGATTTTAAAAATGTTTCTTGTGTTCATTAATCGAGTCGTACCTGGAATTGTCAGTCATTTTTTAGTTGATTCAGTGAATTGAATCGAAGTTTTAATCGTATATCTCATTTCATGAAGCTCCGGAGTCATCCACAACTGTTTACTACCCAAAATGCTTGATGATAAACGACAGACGTAAATAAGTGAAGGATTGAAATGAAATCAGTTATGAAAACTACACTAAATGACTTTAAAAAATTTGACCAGAATTCCGTGAAAGATATACCAAGTGAGCACTAAGATGTCAGCCATCGTGTCATAACATTTCTCCTTCGGTTTGGTGTAAAACAGTTTATTCATTGTTGTTAGTTATGTTCATAACTAACCAATCAAATCGTGGTTTAAGCGCTCACCACTTTGATCTGGTGGTCTGATGTGTCTTTAAACTATCTCTCTGTTGCATATGACCTACCAATTGAAAGAGATTATTATCTTATCACATTAATGTGACTCATAATTTTATTCACTTTGATAAGACACGCAATATTGGCCAGTATTGTTTGTTCATTTCACTTAAATAGCTGTAATTTCCTTAATTACTGCGCTAATATAATTGTTTTCCTACGTTTAGAAATCGATAAAGTTTAAAGACAAATTGTCCTTGTTCTCCTGACTATAGCTTTCACATAAACTCTGTGCTCACCAGTATCGTGTTTACGGTTCTAGTAGTGCTGTAGTGGAGGAGAACACAGGTGAGGGCAACCAAATTGTATTTAACGAAAATTACAGAGTTACAGAACCATATCGCAAACGTTAATTTGCAAATCTTCAATCCATCATCAATCTATTGTCTGACATTTCACTATTCATGCGTTTCATACAAATTCCATTGTGTTCCCTCTCTTCCTTTCTTGATCTTCCCCCATCTTCGGCTGCCAGACATTACGTTGACACTCACGTCATATACTACTTATAAGTAGCGCGCACTACAGTACATCTGCTGGACAAATTAAATCCTACAATTGTATTCTTTATAGAAATAACAAAAATTGTCACTTATTGAACATAATTACTGACAAAATTAAAAGCAAACTCCTGACAGTCTCATTTATACACTATTGAAAGTTAATTTACTATTTCTCACAATTATTTCATTCGACGTAACAACATCTAACTTATCTTCCATTTTTTTTATTAGGATTCCTTTCTCGTGAACAAGCTGAACGTTTACTTACTAAAAATGATAAAAATGGCAGTTTTCTCCTACACCTGAATGAATCCTTTTTAGGTTATGTTATCAGTTTGTTTACATCATCCTATTGTAATCATTTTCTTGTATCAGTAATTGCTGTGAAAGAAAATAATCCTGGTACACGTAGTACAACAAAAAGTACTTATCAGTTATATGGTGTTTCAAATCCTGAACAATTTACTGATTTAAGAGATCTTGTTAAATTTTATTCTGTAAGTTGAATTTTAACCTCTAGTTTGTTTTTTTTCTAAGTAGAATTTACAACTTTTATCATTATTATTATCATTATTATTATTATTATTATTATTATTATTATTATTATTATTAGTAATACAAAATGTGTATCATTTGTTATGGTGAAATGCTTAAATATAATAAAAAAAAGTGGTTTGTTTGTTTTGTGAGATTAAAAATATCATACTTCAAGCTGACAAAATACAGTTTAGGCATTGATTTGAAATCAAACAAATTGTTTGTTACGCATGCACGTAAACATGTCAATTTGATATGCTTGAATTATTACGAGTTTACTTTAGTCGAAAAACGGGAGCGAGGATCGAAGATCGGGCGACACGATAGTCTACTCTAATTCGAGTGTCCCAACCCCGTTGAGTAAAAGAAGAAGACTTGATATAAAGTGGAACATGTATTCTGTAAGTATGCAGAAAGTACGAGGTCCGAGTCCAGAAGAGAATCAGGATCCCGGACTAGAATCTGGGTCCGGGTCCGGTCCATAAAGCGTGACAGATAATGCATGTTTAAACAGTTAAGTCAATTAAGAAACAATATTGAAATCTGTGACATTGATAGTTAGGACGACCAATTGGAAACACCATTTGTAGTGACATTGACTGTTGGTAAGACCGATAGGAGACAACATTGAAGTATGTGACATTGACAGTTAGAACGTTCATAATATTGAGAAGTAGGAATTGACCAATAGAATAAGACTTCCAAAAATAGTTCTCTTAGGATACTTGATGAATATACTAACAATCTTTCAATATCTTAAGATCGTATAATAAGAATGAGATGAAAAACCGATCTCTGCATCGAAATCGAATCCTTAACTTCCCTGACTTCAACCGATATTTGTATTATGCTCATAAAAATATGTTAAGTTTTTTTTTAGCAAAGTGAGTTGTTGAAGATTTCTGTCTTTCATAGTTTGCATCATGAATTATTCTTAATTATACAACCATTAAAAACCACAAAACACTTCAGCTGTACACCACTGGATCTGGAGCCTTGAATTTGTTCATGGAAAGGATCGTGGATGAGAATTGTGTTATACTCGTCAGACTGATACGCTTGAAACTATTACGAGTTCACCTTAAATATAAAGTTGAGTCTCAATGAATTAGATTCACGATTACCGAAGTTTCCATTCACATACAAAAGTTGCATATTTGACAATGATATGCTTGAAGCCATTACGAGTTCACCTTGGTCGATGGACAAGAACAAGACAATGAACCAGTGACATGATAGGCTACTCTGATCCGTTACCCCAACTAACTGAACAAAAAGTCTTGATATGGCGTAGAAAGTGTATTCTACAAACACCCAGAAAATATAATGATATTGAGTACACAAATCGCGTTTATTTACACATCAAAGAAACATCCTTGGGAGAGCCACTAAAATAGCGTACTAATATAACACAGTAACCAATCACGGTCAAGGATTTTCCTGGTGGAGACACAATCTCAAGGTCAACTAACCAGCCCATGAATAAAATCCGAAATTAAGACCTTCACCAAGCGAGTTCTGGAGATTGAACGTCCTCAACACATTGCTAAAAAGTTCTAATATAATAGAACTAGTCCTATCGGATTTTCTCTATAGCCGTATTATTCAGATTATTCATACCCTGATAAAAGAAACCTTCATTTTTTTCATTTTCTTCATTTTTAGGTTCATAGTTTAGGTCGTAATAATAATCAACAATTATTACTTCATCCTGTTGGACAAGAAAATCCAACTCTACCGGATTATTTGGATATATTTTATTCTAGACCTGAGTCAAATTTCTCTACAAGATTTTAATGATTATTATTAATATTATTACTATTATGATTAGCAAAAACTTTTCCAAATTTTAAAAAAAAGTGATACAACAATAATCATTATGTTTCATGGTCACAATCTAAAGTTTGGAAATGTGTAATATTCCTTTTGGGTCTGTATTAATATTATTATTATTATTATCATTATTGTGTAATATAGTTATTTTGATTTTTGACATTCTATCTGAACATTTACTTTTCTTTATTTTCCATCTCATCCGACTTCCTCTGAACAAGTACAATGTCTCTTCTTGACTGATATATTTCTTCTTGATTTTGTTAACCATGAAGAAATTTTCATGCATATATATATATATATATATATAAAATCATTATTATTATTATTTCTATACTAATTAACGAATAGACCAGAAAGAAAATAAAATTCAGACGATACGCATTAAAAAAATAATGAAAATCTTTACTTACCTTTTATTAGAACCGATACACACCAGCACAAAGTTTTATAAATTAAAATGAACATGTTCATTGAGTTGTTCCATTTTTTTCTTCAATTTGTACATTTTTAATTCTACTTATTTTTTATAAGTAATATATATTATTTGTTTGTTGATTTATTTATAAACTGATATGCACAAATATATATATATATATATATATATATATATATATATATATATATATATATATATGTTTAAACATACAATATTTTGTGTATAAATGGATTCCCTTACTTGTTTTTCATTCCAAATTAATAGAAGTACATGTTTAAGTAATTTAGGGTTTGTAAGAATACTAATCATGAAGAATCGAATGAACATACTAATGGTTGTATAATATGATAATTCCTTTGACTGCAACAATAGAATAGAGAGACTGAAACTACTGGAACGTTAGATTAGTGAAGACTGTAGACGCAACTTGCTAACGACGGTCAATAAGCAATTCACTCTATCGATCTCACAAATCGAATAAGTGGCCAAATTATAGCCTACTAGTTAGATTTCCGTTACCACTGGGGACTGAATTTTAGAGCTCATTTTTTATTACCCTAAGAGTGAACAGAAATGATGTTGACGAATTATATCATCACTTAACTTTCATTAATTTTCGCCTTATAAGTTACCTCCATGTCATAAAACAGAAGTCACTTTCACGTTAAAATAACCTCTCATTGACACGACCTTAAGAAACTGATATATCGGGGTGCATTTTATATTCATATAACACGACGAGACAGTTCATTTATTTGCTGGCTGACTTGCTTCTCTAGTACATGATGATTCGGACTTGTTGAATATTTCGAAGAACATATTTTTATTGATGGATCATAAACAGTTATATTGTACTGCTTTACGTTCCAATATCCAATATTTTTTTCACGAGCTAGTGTAAACCAATTTGATTTCTTCGCGCTCGATTCTTGTTCTTTCGGTACGGTTCCAGGTGTTCGGTAATGTTCAATGGATGGAGGTCTAGCCACTCGAATGTCTTATTCTAGTCAGTTGGCAGTTGGTTATGATTTTGTATGTCTCGGAATTTGAATGAAACGTTTTTTTCAGGGCAGTAGGGTTTCCGGATACTAGCAGCCGTCACATTACCAAACCGGAGATCAGTTAGTTGCAATGTGGAGAGTAATAAGGGTAATAAGGATAAAATTCTAATGATAATATGAATAAAATTCCAGGACTGAGTAATACATAGATGAATTTAGTTTGTCAACTGGTAGTGAAGATTGTGACAGGGTCGTAGTGTAAGCAAGAGAAAGGAAACAAAGATAATAGGCGAGATAGATTAATTGAGTGATCTGAGGAGATGGCAATGGTAACAACTAGCAGATCTCAAGATATGCATCATGAACAGCTTGTCCAAGAGGGAGATGATAGTCCGTATGTGAGTACGTGATTATCAAGTCTCTTCTTAAAGCAGTCCACTGAGGTGGCTGTAACTACCTCGGCTGGAAGAGCATTCCAAGTTGCGACGACTCGCAATGGGAAAAAGTATGAACGAATTTGAGTATTCGCTCTTTGATGTGCAATCTTTCGAAGATTGCCTCGAAAAGGGTGAGGCTGATGCATCGGTAAGATGCTCACATTGAGGTGGTTTGGCGTGTTTAATATGGTGTACGCCATAATCAGATCACCTCTGATTCTCCTGTAGCTCAGTGGAAATAATCCGAAGAGCTGGAGTCTATCGTCGTACGGTTTATTTTTCAACCCTATCATCCATTTCGTTGCTCGTCTCTGCACTCGATCCAAGAGAGGGGGTGCGATGACGTTGTGAACCTCCAAGTGTGGGGGCGCGTACGTCTTAAAGAGGGTTAAAAATAATTTCGGGGTTATAGCACCAAGCTGTCTTCGCATAAAGTGAAGAGTCGCATTTGCCTTGGCTGCATCCCCTACATAGTTTGGACTCGTGTGGAGGCTTTCTGTGGTTATTAAACCAAGATCGCGCTCTGAAGAGACATCAGGGAGCGGACTTCCATTGAGGGTATAGGTCGTTTGCGTCATATGAGGCAGGAAATGCATGACTTGGCTTTTCGGTTGGTTGAGTTTTAAACCGTTTTTCACTGCCCATTTCTCAATAGATGTATGGTCTTTTTGAAGCTCAGTCGAATCCTCTTCGCTTCTAATGGACCTCCAGATCTTCGCATCGTCTGCCTAGATCAATAGAACTTTCCCGTAATGTTCTTGTGTTATCCACCCATGATCAGTGGAAGCAGTGCAACGTGTAGTTCTAATGTGGTTTCTGTTAATCTAAGTGTTCATTTTCAACATCTAGTGCCTTGTCAATAGTTCTAAAGTTAAGGAAAGTTCGAATATAGCGTCAAGATGTTTCAACAAGTAAACCAAGCTAGAATGTCGTTAACATGTTGTACTGATCTACTTTTGTGAAGAAAGGGCGATTGGTTTAATAGAAACATTCATTATTACAACCGATCGTGATTGATTGTTTTACTGAACCTCTTTATTTATCACTATCTGTACGCGAAAACTTTCTGCTTGTGTTGCTGCCATCTTGGCTCCACTGTCTCTGTAATTTCGCCCCTCTTTACTGGCACGATTACGATATTCCTTCTGTACCACGAAATCGTCAGCAAATTTATATACTCGTTGTAGAATTCTTTTTGAATGTTTTGTTTTTGGGAAAATCCCTCCATGTTTACATATTCTTGCCATGACCTGATGGACTTTTTCTCTTGACATTTTTGGTATTTTATTTGATTCCAATTTGGGATTTTACCATTGTATATTGTTATTCTTTCCATATTTTGTACTTATATTGAAGTTTTTGTGTTTGCTTTTGAACTGTACATATATTGTTTAAATTTGATATAATATGGCTACCGCCACATTTTTGGATAGACGCAGTGGCTGCTGAACTTAGTGTCACTTACTAGCTATTGTAATAGATACTCTACGGAGTAATTTAGTCCTGGAAGAAACATAAACATCGTAAGTCTCTGTATTTCCATTTTTTATAACAATAGAGACGGTTTTCTCCTAGAATTTTCGGCTTTCTGATTTGGCTGGGACGGGTATCTAGGAGAATCGTACCGGTGTGTTTCTATTGGACGCGATTAGGACAGCCGCCTGCGAAATAAATTCTACAGTCTGATGTTTTTTCCTTCTGGCGTGAATTATACTTGGAAATATTTACCAGAACGCATATAATCGGATCTATTTGGATTATTAAGAATTACAAGGAAACAATTGGAATTTTAATCGTTTATCATTAATTTTGAACTGAAATTTGGATTTATTCTATTTTGTATCGTTAACGTCTTTGCTGGACTTTATTTATGATGTCAAACCGAAAAAAATCACACGTGAGGAGGGTGGAAGAGCTCGACGGATCACAGGGCTCTAGGCAAGTCGTTGATAATAACCTTTTTATGGGTAATCCACATGTTATGTCTGATATTTATTATTGTAAGTCATCGATAGAGGGTTTAGAATTACCTAAGGTTGAGCTTTCATATTTTGATGGAAGGTCTCGCGACTATTTTAAGTTCATACGACAGATAGAGACGTTTATAGAACCTCGAATCAAGGATGATCAAGTTCGTTTATTGTATTTAATTCATTATTGTAAGGGAAAAGCTAAAAATGCGATCGAAGGCTGTCTTATAATGGACCCACAGGCGGGATATAAGAGAGCTAAGGTTATTTTAAAACAGCTTTTTGGGCAGTCACATGTGATAGCGCGAGAAACCTTAGAGGACTTATTTAGAACTGGGAATGTCGAATTTAATGATCCTGAATCATTGACGAACTTGGCCATTAAAATGCAAAATGCTTCTTTAACTTTAGAACAGTTAAACTGTACAGCTGAACTTAACTCTATGACTACTTTAGAACGAATAGTAAGGCTCCTACCTCGTCGAATGCAAGCCCAGTGGGCAGAGCTAGTATTTAAGTGGGACGAAGAGGAGAGAGAGCCCAATTTTAACGAATTGACGGAATTTATTATGTCTCGTGCTAAGATAGCTGGTAGTAGGTTTGGAAGATTAGCTTATCAGGCCAAAACAGGAAATAATAAGGAAGCTACTAGTGGTCTGCGTGCGAGACATTCGGATTCTTCGTTTCTACCTAAAGCATACTCGGAAGATAAGAGAATTGTCAATTATATCACGAAAGCATACCCTGATGAAGTACGAGTACGTGACCGTAACGATGTAAATTCTCTTGATGCGTGTCCTCGTAAGAAGCCGGATGGTGTAACAGATAAGATGGCTTTTCTAAGTGTAGAAAAGAAAGAAAAAGGTGAAAAAGGTAGGCATCAAGATGGATCCGGAGTGTGTGACGATAAAAGCCTTTTAGCTGCTCGAAAGGCCTGGAACGGTAATTTGGATTCGAGTAATCAGAGGTTGGTGAGTTCAGCAAATATGAATAAAGCCCAGACAGGATTGACTGAACGGAATAAAGCTTATTTTCGGAACCCTTCAGTTAGGGTAAATTATATGACGGGACCTAGAGTAGCTTCTAGGATAAGTGATGGTGATACAGTAACGGTTAA